TTATTGGGGTTCTCGTGACTTTGCACCCCACATTACACTACAATGGGCGCAATTATGCATGGCTTAATTACATCGGAGGCCTTCTTTCCCCCGTCAGTTTTGTATTCTTCGGTTATGTAATTATATATATTATATATGGTATGATAAGGTAAATTTATACAAAATATAAAAACAATATATAAAACAATTTTTGCAAATTACAATAAAGAAAGATCTCAAAAATGCAAAAAAAAATATTATCCCCATAGTGGCCTTGATTCAAAGGGTTAAGTTGAGCATGAAGCGCTGAAGGTGTTCTATGGTCAGTCTCACTTCTTGAAGCGGCAGGTAGCAAATAAAAGGCTGAACGTGAAAACGTTCCATGCTGGGGGTGTTACTGCATCGGAATCGTGTCAAAGCAGAGGGGAACTTGATACTTCGTAGAACACTCGAGGGAGAGTAGAGGCGAATATGATCCGAGAAGAATCGGTCTCATGACATTCTCCCCTTACAGGGTGCAGAACTTCTCCGAAAATTGCATCTAGTTCACCCAGAGAATATCGTGATTACATAGAATATATATTTAGACTATGCCGTCCTTGGAGACGGCATAGACATAAATCGGCAATGCGAATTCGAATGACGGAGCAGCTCTCTACTTGCGACAAAAGAGTCCGAAGACGTGCCGGAACTTTCTAGCAGGCATCAGCTAACCCGCAGCACAGACAATGCGGCCGACCTCCCTGCTCTCGCATACTTTTGCATCGGGTGGGCTACGTGATACCCCTATGCATTGTCTTTGGGCCAGGGGAGGCCTCCAGGCCGATGCTGGACGGGAGTCAAGAGAGACCGGACTTGGCTCGTTTTGCGTCAGTTGGGAATGAATCCAATGGTCCCGAGAGATTTCTTTCAAATGCTTTATACTTATCTACTCCTAAATCCTTGTGACGCCTGAGGAAATGTGGGTTAAGTTTCCAGAGGTCAAGGTTATGCTTAAAAAAAATGAAACAATTTTTTACCATGACATATACTTTTTTTTTCAGAAGTGAAGAGAACGAAGTCGTTTTTGATTGGGCATGAACAAAAAATTTTTTTTTATTCAGCTGTAGATTGCCTTCCTGCCATCATTTTTTAGACCTTATTTCAGGGAAGAGCCCACTTGGTCAATATGACCATATCTACCAAATTTGCCAGGAACAAATTTTGTCACGCTATCTAGTTAATATATACTCCAATTCCATCCCTTGGAATGCCAGCTACACATCTGTTGAGCATTCACCTACCCACATGATCCACGAGGTCGAGAGTGACATCTGGCATCAGGATCAGTCTTCGAGGTAATCAGGTTCTTCCTCGTCGTCGTCGTCGTCGTCGTCGTCGAGGTCCTGCTGCCGGTCGAAGCCGGCCCTGTCCCGATGGAACTCGACGACGGACTCGTGAGCCACTTCGTCCTTGGACGGCGGCCGCCACCGTCGCTTCTGCGCTTCCAGGAACTGGGTCATGCGTTGGAGGTTCGTGCTGTGGGCTGTCTCGGGTCTCAGGGCGGGGGGAGCTGGTCTCCCCAGCTGGGAGGAGCTGGTTTCTGCGTCCTCTGCGGGTGGGAGGCTCCCCTGTCTCTGGGACTGGGCTCGGCTTGTCTTTTCTTTGCCACATCGGACCTACAAAATTCGAGGCGAATGCTACCGTAATGAGGAAAAGATGGGACGTGTCGGAAGTAGATTGGCTCTAACCATCCCAAAATAAATTAGGCTCACTTAACTCTCTCCTGGGATTTGATCGTAACGACATGGAAACTCAGAAAAAAACATGACATTATATTCTTGCATACTACTAGAAGAGCCAGAACCTCTCATTGAGGGTAGGAGGCATCAATAAATGCAATGCCTATTTGATTGAAGCATAGATTTCTTTTCCACTCTGTAGGGGCCAAGTTGTGTTGTCTAGGCCCATGACTAGCAGAGGAGATTTTTACGGGCCACCAGCATCTCTTAATAGAGGCAAACGTGATGTCTCAAAGTTAGGCAAAACCCCCATATAGCATGTGCTGATCTGTTGATCCAGTCAGCCATCGAACCCAACAATGCAAACGAAGCAGCCGTGCTATATGGAATTAAGCAGAATCGTCACTTCTCGACAAGGAATGAAGTCTCACCTGAGCCATGATATGAGCATGATCCAATCCGAACAAGTCGTTCCGCATTTTCGGCATATCAAACGCCTCCTGCACAGAACAGACCATACCGTACAGTTGAAACTTCACCTCTCAACGCCGAAACAGGCCAAAAACACACCAGAGCGACTTCATCCTGTTCGAACAAGTGGGACGACTCGTGGGACGACTCGTGAGACGACCCGTGAGACGACCCGTGGGTCTCCGGCCGACCGTAATCGGCTATGCGGAAGAGCTCCTCCAGCTTGGCCTGGCGCTCGTAATCGGCATCCCTGATGAAGTGGATCGGGGGCACGCGCCCCAGGACGTGGAACTCCATCAGGCGGCGTCTCAGCGCGAACCCGCAGTCCTGCAGCGTTCGGCTCAGCGGTTCCCGCTCCGACAACGGGGCGATCCAGTACACGTTCACGCCGTCGAACGTTGGCGACACCTTCACCTGTGAGAGCGAAATGCAAAGAATCGTGGCGTGCCGCAGACGATGGCGAAAGGTGCGACGTTCCCACCCCATCCCATACTGATCTGCTAAAAAAATAGGAGCAAGAGAGGGTGCTGCTTTCCCACCTTAATGATGCTTTTTCCTGAAAAAAAAAACATTACCGTGGAAGAAAGGAAAAGCCTGCATTAAATTAATGAAACCAAAAATTTTGATTTTTGCAGGTGAGCAATACAATTAGTTGCCTGCAAATCCCCCTTAAATATTGACGGCTTCTGATAATTGAACCTACGGGCAATGTCCCAAGGAGTCTCGTCCTGCTCTAACAATGCGTTAGATGACGAAGTAGTGGCTGCCCCTTCTGTGACTATAATATCACTAACTCTCCTGACTCCTGACTCCTAACACATTCACTGCCATCACTGCCAATCGGTTTTGGGTGGTAACTGGCTCCCTGCCATTTTTCTGCTTGGAGTCTCCTTTCAAGTTACTGCGCAAAGAATACTAGATCTCTTAAAGTACTGAAGCAAATTCAATGAAATTTTCAACATGCCTTCAGTAACGTGTTTCACTGCATTTGAGCTCCATCTATTCAAGCTATTGACAATCGAGTTGACGGAGGCCTGAAGACGTCTACCAACATCTTCGGCAGCGACCGTATTAAAATATTAAGGCACCGTATTAAGATATTAAGGCACCGTATTGAAATATCAAGGCACCGTATTAAAATATTAAGGCTTAAGAGCCGAAGGGGAGTATCAGACCTGAGTAATTTCAAAGCCTGTGCCCCTGAGGCCAGCGGAGAGCTCCCCAGTCGCAAGAACGTCAGAGATGTGCTCTAGGAAGAGAGAATTGAGGATCTGGACTCGTCGGCTGCCCTGTGCGTCTCTGCTCGGCTCCGACCAGAGAGACGATTTCATCGAGGTCGGGGCCATCGAGCCAGAGGTCGGGGTGAAGCTGACCTTCCTGGTTTGTTAGGTGAACAGGTGAAGATTCCGGTAATGTTAGGTGATTCGGCTGCCACTCTGCACCAGAGGGCAAATGCTTTTGGCACAGAAGAAAATTCAGGATGGGAGACTGACCTCTTCTTGGAGGAGTTGCCGAGGAACTTGCCCAGCTTCTTCCCCATGTAGTCTGCTCGAAACACTGGCCGCTTCCCCTTGGCCAGAGATGCAGGGGCTAGGTGGAGACCTCTCTTCAGGGACCAGGAAAATCGAGATTCAAGCATCCTCTCGGTCTTTCCGGCACATCTAACGGAGAACTCCCGACAAATACCAAAATCTAAGACAAAAATGAAGCGGCATGATACTCCGATTAGATGACTCTGCTGAGTCACTCATTACACTATTAATCATACTATCATTACATGAGGTTGTACGGAGGGCAATAAATACTATTCTTAAGGACTGTTAAGGGAAATCTATAAAAAATATATATATATGGCTGAATGACAAATTGGGTGTTTCTGAAAATGTCGGAATCATACCACTTTCAGTTTCAAGTCAGAAAAGAAAGTCATCCCTTAAGACAAATGGAGTTGCTCCACAGCCTTCTCCATGACTGGTATAACGTTCAGCATCACACTGCACACACATGCACAGTGCCAGTTCAACAATGTGCTAAGTCAGTAAAAGAGCAATATCATGTGGAGACAAGTGATCCTTTAATGCACTGCTAAAGGTGGCCAGAAAAAGAAAAGAACTTCTGAAGCACAGAGTAAACAAATGACACAAAATACACCCATATAATACACTCACATCCCTGGAACTCCTCCTACGCATCAACGACCAGGAGCACCCAGCCTCTGAGGATCTTGAGATGGATAATGAATCGCCATCCGAGCCGGAGGCGGGACCGCGCCGGAAGCGCCAGCAGCAACAGGAGGCGGCGGTGGCGGGGCAGGCAGCCCCGGAGGACGAAATCCCGGCGGAGGCCGCAACGGCGGCCGCACGTGCGGCGGAATCATGAACGGCGGCGGGAGACGGTACCCCGTGATGGCAGCGGGGGGAGGCGGAGGAGGGAGGTTGAAGAAGTTGGCCGCCTGGGGAGGCGGCGGCAGGGCTCCAGGGAGTCCTGGCACTGGCTCGAGGGCTGGTCCCTCTTCCGTCTCGTCCGACGTCCCAACCTTTGCCTGGGACTTTCCCCATTTAATGGTCAGCCGACGACCCTGGAAAGAGAAAAACAAAATAAGGCATAATTAACCCACGCCGGACAGAGATTATTCGGGACGGGTCCATCAATCTTGACTCATCAGAATATTTCGGGAGCTAGGATGATAATGCCACCGACATTACCATTAATTACCCTAATAAAATCTCAGTTTCGTGCTTGTCAGCACATTATATAGCACAGAAAGTACCTAAGGGTGGATTTTTGAACAGAGAACTATCCAATAATGCAGCTTTATTTCAGGGAAAATACTTTATAAACCCGGTAAATAAAGCTGCATCAACTGTTCAAAAATCCACCCTAAATCCACAGTTCACATCTTGCGGAAGGGTCTGCGCCGGAACGAATGCTAACGATGCGCGGACGTCGTCCTGGTGAGCTGTTGACCGGGGTCGCGCGTATTCACGCCATACAGGATTCTGCTTAGACTCGGACGCCAGAAGACCATCGCTTTTTCTTTCACCCATCTGTAGAGATATGCACAATCTACAGAGATGACAATTATCCCCAATTTTAGCTGGTTTTGTTGTCGTAGTCCACTAACCCCTATCGCCTGATCTCATTCCACTGTATTTCTTTTCGCGGGGTCACAAGAAAACGTAGGTTCCACATTCAGGGCAATGCACTTCAAACTATGGGCAGACATGAGCTGTGAAATGAATTCAAACAGCATTCTACATCCCATGCACTGGAAAAAAAAAGTTCATATTTGTATTTTGTAATGTCCCACACCACATTGGACAAACTATTGTGTCAAACCTAGCATGAGTCACCTTCAAGCAATGTAGCACGCAACTGAGTTATTGGCTCGTCTCTCTGATTCCGATAATAAGATCGAGGAAGATCCGGTTCCGACAGTTGCCAAAACACCTTTTTAAATATTATTTTTTCGCCACCCTATTTATAATACAGAGGCGTTGCGGTATGCCAAGAAATTCCCGGTCGGTGTACCAAGAATGTTCTACGCTTCTAGCGCAGAGGCGAGCGCGAGGAGAAAAGTACCGAGCCAGAAAACTCATCAAGGCCAACTGGTTGCTTTTATAAGGGACTCATTCAACGATAGCAGGCTGGGTCTTTCAAAGGCACAATTAAAAAAAAAAAAAGAGAGAGACGTGCCACATGGCGCCTCTCAGTCACCCGTTCTTCCCGCATGCCACTTCGTCCCTTTCTTGCATCCCATGGCCGAATGATCATTATCCCGAATTTGCATGCACAAAACTCGCCCAGAATTGAGTTTCATGAACGGTGGAGCCTTTCAATCCCCGTTTTCACACGTCTTCATCCTTCATGCAAATTTCAAGTACAAGGTTTGGAGAAAATAAGTTTTGAAGCTTTTTGAATCCCTAAAAAGGAACAATATGAGATAAATTGTGGCTATATGCCTCTTAGCCAGTCTGAACGGACCTCGAGTAAGCCCGATCAGACCCAACATTCGTTTAGGACCCGAGTTCCTGTGCAGGCCTTTACCCCCCCTCCTCAAACCAGTACCCTCTTCGTGCACCCTGTAGTTTCTGCAGTTCCTACTTTTATTCTTCCTCCATCACTCTGAGGAGCCAAACGTCCCCAAGTGTAACATTTACGAGATCCGCTTCTTTTTTACTTGCGGAAGCGAACCACCGAGGCGGGATCCGGACCCATCCTTGAAGCAATTGGGAGCGGGAAAAGCGCTATCAATCCAGGAGAGGGAGTAAATGTACTTCGAATTGACGGCAGCAGGAGTCAGAATTTTTGGCTCGAATGCACAAACCTCGTTTAGGGGAGATGAAAGGGCCTTTGAGCTAAAGAGCTATTTTTCTCCCATAAGGGTTCATGTATTCTTCAAAGACCATTAACTTCAGCATTCAGGCCTTAGTTTTCCCTCTAACCATAGGATACTGTGGCATCCATGTTTCCCCATGTGTCAAAGTAACAAACTTTAAAAAGCAGGATGCCAAGTGTCGTAACTTCATCAGACCCCCCGGGCCCGTACACCTGCAATTACTTCTGGGCTCATGAACCCAGAAGCTATCCTATGCAAAAAAAAATGCAACATTTGGCAAGTAAACCGGTCGCCGGACCTGAGGACCTTAAGGTTCCAAGTTTCATGCGTAGCTCTGATCAATATCGAACGACGCATGGGTGCACAGCGAGACTCAAACGTTATACGTCAGGCTCTGGTGGGCGATAAAGCAAGATTTGAGGCATAAAATACACTGATGCCCCGAGGGATATAATAACTCCAGACACATAAAAAGAAATGCAGGATCCACGTTCAACAATCCATCGAGGGTAAGAGCAGAAATGGGAGTTGATGTATTTATAGAACATGAAGGAAGAAAAAATGTGACCTGTAGCCATGCCTTTGGGTCATGTAAAGTTTCCCATTTCGTCCCTTTTTTCATACTGGGTCACTGTCTCTATCATACGTGGAGAGTTGAAAGATATTTTAAAAAAACCTTAGTTTTCTCCATCCACACACTTCTCCTTAACAGCTATCATTTCTTCTCAGTATTCATGAACATCTTTATTGCTTTCATTTATAAGAGCCTTGGACTAACCAGGAAAAAATACAGAATTTTGCAAAATGTTGGCCTGTATGAGTACTAGTAAGCTGGACATACAGTGCAGATAAGCTAGGAGTGCTTTATCAGTAATTTTATTGTTAATTGCAGCAAGGAGTTTTAGTATATAATGCTCCACTCCACAACCAGAAATTTTCACAATCCTGTCTGAAGCACAGCAATTGGGCACACCCATTAGGGCTTATTGGAGTTAGAGGAAGTTATTATTTTTGCTGCAAATAACTCCTTATGGTTCAAGTCCAGAATGGTCAGGAATCAAGTCTTCCATGGGCATATTGTTTTCTTAATTCAATAAATATATTATGGAAAATCTAAACCATTTACTAAACAATTAATTTCCTTCTCAAAGAGGAAACACCTCATGGCAGCATGTGACACAAAAAGAACAAGATGATTGGAGTACTCATCAACCCTTCAACACAATGTTTCACAGAGGAGGGCTAGTAGCTCATCAAGCCATTTTCATGTACACTGTACGTTCAACGCTTAGGAGCTCAAGTCAAAAATCAGCATTTGAAGGGTTAAAAGAAACCATTCTCTCAAACAGCTCAATGCTGGCAATGATAGGTCCATTTAAGCTTTGATAAACTGATGATGCCATCATTCCAAGCATGGGAGGCATTTGAACTGCCGCAAGACTGACAGATATGACAGCAAAGACAACCACAATTTTATATTATATCACAGAGAGTTTCACAGGGAGGTGATGCGGGACTCACCTGGATGATGAGTTTATTGAAAGTGCTCTCGGCAGCCAGCTCGGCAGCCTCTCGGGAGGTGTACGTCACAAATCCGCAGCCCTGTTTCGCCACCACCGTCACCATCCGCAGCTCTCCGTACTGATAGAACTCGTCCCTGAACCAAAGAGATGTTCACATGAGTGAACCTTCTGATCCTTCTAATTAAGCATACACAATAAGAAAGGAGCACGGATGCTACCTGAGCATTTCTTCTGTCGTGTTCTCACCCAAATTCCCCACGTACAGAGTGGTGATACTCTTATCATCAGGTGGCTCAAGCTGTGGCATGGCAGCTGCCCGCCTAAGCAGCTTTTCTGCCACAGGATCATTCACACCATAATATCTGCAAAAGCATGAGTCAGTTAAGGATACCAAGCTGTGAATCATACACACAATGCTAAAAATATTGATGAAGAAATTGAATGAGTAAATTATTGCAAGGATGCAGGAATCTACTGGAATAAAAGTGGCAAAATACATAACAAAATCAAAGGTGGTACATGGCACTCATAGATGAACAATATCAAATTAGCACATTTATTTGAAATAGAATAAATTATAGTAAAATTTGAAACAAAACTCAAGCTTATTGTCACGTTTTTCAGAAGTCCTCGGAGACAGACACGGCACTTACCGGTCTCGGATGTTCTGATCGGCAAGTGGGTCTTCGGGATCGGTAGGCTTCTCGTGACGGTACGGACACTCCTCCCCACGTCGGCACTCGCCTTTGACCCAGAAGGAACAGATGTGGGGTCGGTTGCGCTTGTAGTACGGGGTGGTGCGAGCCAGTTTTAGAAGCAGGTCGCTCGAGCTCTGAGCCTTCCCCACTGCACCTCCAGCGGTCGTCCCATCGGTGTTTGCCAGCTAAGGCACAAATCAAGGGTCAAGAAAATTTAAGTTAAAATACACAAACCCACTTGGAACAGTTGACTCAGCTATTCAAGGGAAAAAGTAGCCCTCTAAAACCATCTATATAGTTTCTCAAGTGCAGACTACAACATTGTTTTGTCCAAGAAGCAATTTAATATAGCCTTTGGAAGAATTTCCCTTGAGCTACCACTAGAGTCTGAACTAGGCAGAACTGAATGTGTATCACAAGCCACAAAAATAAATTAGCCCCTTAATGATGTAACTTATTCCCACTAATCCTTCTCCCACATTGAACTTTTGGTGGAAAAAATTCTCCTAGCATCGAATGGCACAAAATTGTGTCCAAATTTAAATCAATCACTCAGCTCCCAATATTGCTGTTAGGACAAAAAGAAATAAAATTTTTGTCACCTCTCAGAGGAGAATCCACTACATTACTACTACATTAACAACTAGGTCTCTACTTTGAACATCATCCACGTAACTACAGATTGAAATCCCAAAGTTCTCCGTCGGAGAAGTAGAATCCCAGTAAGATTCCTCAAGCGAGACTCACCTCCTGCTCCATGTTCTGAATGAAGTAGTCCCTGTTGACTTCCGAGCGGGGCATGTCGTCCTTGACGTTGAGGGCCGCGTCCCTGACCTGGACGGGGAGCCCGTACTCCAGATCCAGGAGGCACGTCTGGCAGATGTTCTTCATCTTGCAGCACGTCTGGCAGACCTCGGTCTTCTTGAAGCGCATCTTGGCCCCGGGGCACCAGCGGAACACAGTGAAGGGGCGGTTGCAGATCTTGCATTCCTTCCCGAAGCGCTCCTTCGTCTGTTGACACGGAATCGTGAGACCTTAGAGACTATTCCAGTACATCTCTTTAAAACAAATTCTCGTCAGTGAGACTCACCATCCGAATGTAAGGGTTGTCGCCTAGGCATGTCTGGCAGAGGATTGGAAATTCCTGGGAAAATAAAAAAATTTTTTACCTACAAAGAAAATTAATTGAAGGGTCAAATTCTTCATTTGATTGCACCAACTTGCAAATGTATCTACAAGTTGGTGCTGTAGATCTACAGCAAAAGAGAATTTTTGGAACATCTAGACACAAAATAATAGAGCATGTCTTCACCAAAAGGAGAGCATCTCGTAACAGGCATCATCAGGGTTCATTACAAATGAGGTTTACCACTTGGAATATGATTCCTATCAACAAGGAATTTCTGTTGTGCCAGCCACTGAAGCTGGATTGGATCCTATCATTGTGCGTGCCAATCCCAAAACACCGAGCCATTACACGGCGTGACTCGAGGAATGCCCGAATGGATCATCGAGAGGCCAGGATACAAGATACAATCGTGCCTTTACTTATGAGTAACAGTTAACCCAAAATGGCTCTAAAAAGTGGGCCTAGGCCTGCTCCACAATCAGTTCTTCAAGTATCAATACTTAAACCCCTGTACATTTACAGATTGGAGTCCCTCACAAAGACAGCAATGAATCCAAGTGTACCAGTTGAATCTAAAATCAATGAGACTAATTAAATTCCTACTAACTCCTAACATAGGAATGTATAATAAAAAATTTGCCAGCTTCAATAAAGTTCAAAATTCAACCAAACTGATGCCAGAGCAAGGCCAAACTCTTAAGATTTAAAATTAATCTTATTGCTGTTGACAGCTGAGGTTCTTCTTTACTTCAGGACTTTGTCACTTCCTGTTCCCAATATTATTTACAAAAAAGAGAGCATAAAAAGTCCACACAAAGTTGGCTACTGGCCACTGAAGCACCATTACTTACAGTGGATCAAATGTAATTTTGACTTTTTTGGCTGGTTAGGGCTGGTTTGGCTCTGGTAAGGATCTAGTGAGACTTACAAAGCAGGAAGTAAGCAAAGCATTACTTAACTTTTTTTAGGTTTTTGAAGACTAATGAAAATGCGCCGTCGTTTACTGAGCATTAAATGGCTTTTGGCCTATCAACAGTTGAAGCATGAAGGCCTAAGCTCAGCATCACAAAACGTGCGACACCAGCTTGGCTTGTGCCACCCCGCTTCCTGACCTCGCGAAGTCCCGGTAAAAACTAGAGTCCCACGAGGCCAACCGTTCTCCCGGCTATTTAATTACACAACAACTACCGACCTCCATTCATCAATTAAGACCTCAAAGAGGAAATAAGGC